TCTTCCTCTCGGAGCCCCAGCACCCGCTGCAAACCTCGGAGAGAAAGCTGCACTCGCTCTGACCGAGGCCAGACAGTCCCTCTTCTCCCGTTTGATTCTCAGTCCCTGGCGACTCGCCCGGATCTGGAGCTCAGAGTCTGCGACTCCCTCCCGATTGAAAACGCCAACCGCGCCCTCCGCCCCAGCCCGCTCCGCGCACTCCGCACCTCAGAATTTGACTTCAGCACTGCGCCTCCTCGGAGTGTCCGTTTGCGTTACTCTTTCCTCCTAGTTGTAGGAATTCCACTCAGCCACCGTTCCTGTGGTTCTGGATGATGTCCGTTCCGTCTTATAGTTGTATTTTTGAAGTGGTTGTTCGAGGCGGCAAACTCCGGTGTTTACCTATGCCGCCATCTTGGTTTTTCCAAAGACTTATATTTTTGACGTTTATTTTATATATTTAAATGCCATTTAACAAAGAAAAAGCAACCAAAAAAATGAGTTCGCGTGTCACAGGTTCGCCATCACTGGTGTATACCATTCCTGAGAAATGTAGACTCCTGAGGAGGCAGTGCAATCCCACAAGATCACGTGATGTGAATAAAAGGACGAGCCCTTAGAAACGCCTGGCCCCTCCGCATCAGCGTTTGGAAGTCTGTTCCCTCGTCAAGTTCAGAGCCTCCGCCAGCGTTTCCATCGGTGTCTGCCCAGTGGCCTTGTTGGGAGGCAGAACTTCCTGAGTCTTGTCGTGATGAAAAATAAGCTACTTTACACGTTTATTTTTGTCCAAAGGACTTGTATGGGTTCCGAGATGTATAGCTCAATGACAGGAAGGGAAGGGGAACGTCAGGGGAGGGTGTTTTCAGTGCCTCGATTATTAGACTTATGTGCTGTGTGCGTGGGAATTATCCCCCCATCCCCGACCTTTCTCATTCTCTGCTGACTTCACTGCTTTATTTGATTCCAGATCTTGATCATTTTGATTAGTTATGTATTTTTTTTTAATATGTTCTGAAACCATTACCCTGTTTCTGTGCCCTATTCCCTGGACTTCTATTGAACAGCCTAGCAGATAGTGAAAATACTTATTTTATAAACTTCTCCCTCTAATTCATTTTCACCAGAGAGTCCCACGGACTGGCTGGGTGTACAGAAATGTTGAGAGGCCAGAGAGCGTATCAGATCACATGTACAGGATGGCAGTTATGGCGCTGGTGACCAAAGATGATCATCTGAACAAAGACAGGTAAGCTGTGAACGTCGGCGCCTGGCAGTTAGGGTCTCTGCTCTGTGATGATGCACCACTTTTCATGACTGAGGCCTGTGTCAAATTCTTGTAGGTTCGTTTCTACATGGGAAGAAATTATTTGAGGTGACCCATACAGGTTCAGGATGGGGGGTAGGGGTGGTGGGGGTGGGGGAGACTGTGTGTGCTGATGGCTTCCATTGTTAATTGCACTCTGGGTTTTTTCCTGGCCAGTGAAGGAGCCTGCCTTGGCTGGTGTGGCTCAGTTGGTTAGGCGTCGTCCTGTGCACCCAGAGGATGCAGGTTCAATCCCTATGCAGGAGGCAGCCGATCAATGTTTCATTCTCACATCAATGCTTCTCTCTCTCTACCTCTCCCTTCCTCTCTCTCTAAAAATCAATTAAAATATTAAAAGAAAAAAAAGATTGATAACTTCAGGTTATAAAGCTAGATGATCTGGTTATAGCATTTACTTACTGATACAAAATTCAGAAACAATCATTTCTCCAGTAAACTAGTTAGATGGCAAAATGAGGGCCTTCATAGAAAAACGAATAGAGTTGGGCAGGTCTGAGTTCAAATCCAGTGACCAGATTGATGTTATCAAGCTTTTAAAATGATATTTGAAAAACCAGCCATTTCTAAAAAAATATAGGCTATTTCCTCTGCACTCTCATGTATTATGTTGAATATTACTAAGCAGTTTTTTTTATAAGTGTATATTTTTATTGATTTCAGAGAGGAAGGGAGAGAGAAACATCAATGATGAGAGAGAATCATTGATCGGCTGCCTCCTGCATGCCCCACACTGGGGATCGAGCCCACAACCCGGGCATGGGCCCTGACGGGGAATCGAACCGTGACCACGTGGTTCATAGGTCGACCCTCAACCCCTGAGCCACACAGACCGGGCTTAACAAGCAGTTTTGCTTCAAAGCTGTTGAAGGTTTTCATAATATAGTTACTGTAGAAAATACTGCATTGAAATGCTCTCTGAGGGTGGAGAAAGAAAAGTATAGTATGTAAGTTCGAAACAGTATAGCGAAGGGGTTTGTAGCGAATGTGCTTCTGTGTAATCATCCACCATTTCTCGCCTGGTCAGATGTGTGCGCCTAGCCCTGGTTCACGATATGGCAGAGTGCATCGTTGGGGACATAGCACCAGCAGATAACATCCCCAAAGAAGAAAAACATAGGCGAGAAGAGGTCAGTGTTGGCTGTTGACTCCACAAGAACTCCAGCAGAGCCTGTCGCTGACGCACAGCTAAGTCTGTTAGACCCGTTGGGGCAAGGGAGTGCGCCACCTCCCCTGGCTCAGTGTTCAGGAAGGGCAGCGGGGCGTCAGGGGAGGGTGTTTTCAGCGGTAGAGCCTGGGCTGGAGCATGCTTAAATGGATCCCACAAGAAGGGCAGCTAGTTGAGGCCGCAGGCTGCACAGAGTTTAGGGCATAATAGCCTTGGGTAGGTGGGACTGATGAGGCAAAATCTTAGAGACACTCTTGAAGAGTAAGCCATTAGTGCTTGCTCTGATTTGGGTAGTTTATAGTTTCAGCTTCCAGAAGCAAGGATTTCCCTGGAGTAGGAGTCAGTTGGTTTCTGGTTGTTCTCAACCTTGATTAACACAAGAACAGGAAAGTGTGCCTAATCCCAGCCTTGTTTAGCACAGGGACAAGCAAACTGTTGGTTTCCATTCTCATTAGTATGTGGACATAGGTAGCATGGCTTTCATTGGGACAGTGGAAATAGCTGGAACTTGAAGGAATTCTTCATGCGAGTTAAGCTCTTTGGAGAGAAGTTCTATAAATTACAAGTATAATTATTTTATAATTGTTTGTTGGATTTTAAGTTAGTCCTTTAGTGGTCAGAAATAAAGAAATATTTGTATTAGTAAGAAATGAGCAACATCAATAAAATAGGAAATCAGTATCAGTTTGGGCTGTAAACCCAGAGGCTAGGGCCAAAGAGGAAGACATATTTACAGCAGAGGCCGCAACATCCGAGGGGGATTTTAATGCTGAATAGCTGGTTCTCCGTTCAGGGATCATCGCAAGCTACTTTAACCAAAGGCCAAAAATCCTAAACTGCTAAGTGGACAAGCCCTTTATCAAGATGGTTTAATCAGGCAGGTGGCTGAGCTAGCTGTTCTCAGAGCTGAGGGACGACAAACTTAGCCAACAGCATTTTTGCCTCTCTACAGGCGGAAAAGCCATAAAGAATCCCAATTTTGGAATTCCAACGTATTCTAAATTATGAGAACGAGAGGAATAGTGTAAGGAATATTCTTCCTGCCAAAATACGGGTGTAGAATACAGGCTTAGCATCGCCACAGCCTATAGAAAGGGTGGAAGCTAAGGAAATGTTTCTCCATAGTTTAGACCAGCCGTGGGCAAACTACAGCCCGCGGGCCGGATTCGGCCCGTTTGAAACGAAAAAAACAAACAAACAAACAAAAAAGACCGTACCCTTTTATGTAATGATGTTTACTTTGAATTTATATTAGTTCACACAAACACTCCATCCATGCTTTTGTTCCGGCCCTCCGGTCCAGTTTAACAACCCATTGTGGCCCTCGAGTCAAAAAGTTTGCCCACCCCTGGTTTAGACTGTCATTGTGAGGTGATCACTTTCTAAGGTATAGATGTCTCTAATCACTGTGTTGTACACCTGAAACTAATATCATATTGTATGTCAGCTATGACTGAAAAATACATTTAAAAAAATAATATTAAAAATTCTTAACACGTTAAGTGCCTAGCCTGTTTTGTCTTCTGGATGGAAAGTATAGTGTCAGTCACCAGTGATTGACATGGTGCTTAACATGTTAAAAAAAAAATTCCTAGGTTGATTGACAGAAATGATTTAAACTGGGACCAATTAGCTCAAGATACTAAGTTACAGAAAGGAATTAGCCCTCAACCAGAGGATGTTGAGAAATGACTTACGACATAGAGAAAAAGAAGGGGGAAAACCTCCTCGATTATACAGCTCATTTCAGGATATATGGTAGTTTTATTCAAGGGTACATCTTTAAGGGTACATCTGGACATTGTGGACAAGAAATCATGTACTGAAATACCAGAGGGTAACCAAAGACCTTGAATGACAGAGGACGAAGAAAAGACAGGCCGTCCCTGTGCAGGTACACAGGGACTTGGAGGCTTACTCCATAGGGGAGCAAGTCAGAACCTTCTGGAGAAAAAGCACTGTCCATAGGAAGGATCTCCAGCTACTGGAGATGGGAGGAGACTTACTTCTGTCCTGACGAGAGCTGAGTCCTGGCCTCTGTGGAGGGCACAGAGTAGACCTGAACCATCAGAGGGAGTGGTGCTGGACTCCGTATCCTGGCAATTATGGGAAACCTCATTAAACCTCCTGTCTGCTGCCCACTCCTTCTGATTCACAGCAGAGTGAATACCATAATCAGAAGAGACAAGGGAAGCGTCTTAGAGAACCACAAGTTCTTGGGCAAGAAGCCAAAGGCCTAGAGAACACTGATATTCCATTGCCTCTTCCTGCTGCTGGCGAGGATTTGGGAACAGAGAGAAGGGTCTGGGAGATGAGCCATTCTTCATGCAGATGGTACTCATGAATAAGAGGTGGATGTCGGAACCAGGCATTAAGATAATTAAGTGAGGGTTTCTTGGCTCGAGGTGGATGGCACATGATGAGAAGCAGGGAGCGTCCTTTGCCCAGGGGCTTGCCAACTGCATCAGGAAGGCTTTAAACCGAAGGAGGGAGGAAAAGTACCTGATAAGCCTGGAGGCTGACTGTTCTGAAGGACAGCAAGTATTTGGATGGGAGGGAGGATGAGGGTGTAGAAGAGAAAATGTAGGGGCCAAAAGCAGTGCTTGTAGTCTGACCCTTCCTACCAGGACAAAACATACTTTATATTATAACCCACGTTGGTAGAGGGCATCATCAAGAACTAGGGAGATGGAACACGAGGCTTGAGTACATCAGTGGCAGGTTATATTCCTTTGTAAAGGCACAAACTTACTGAGACTGAAGAAGAGCCACGGTATATATGTATCTTCAAGGGTTAAAGTTGTTAAAGAACTGAGGTTAAAAGAAGAACCACCCTAGCTGATTTGGCTCAGTGGATAGACCTTTGGCGTGCAGGCTGAAGGGTCCTGTGTTCAATTCCAGTCAAGGGCGCATGCCTGGGTTGCAGGCTCGATCCCCAGTAGGGGGCGTACAAGAGGCAGCCAATCAATGATTTCTCTCTCATTATTGATGTTTCTCTCTCTCCCTCTCCCTCTCTGAAACCAATAAAAATATTAAAAAGAAAAAAAGAGAAGAAACAAACTATTATGTGAGTGAACATGACAAGATGGAGAAATGAGAAATACAGTGAACATTTTATACAGTGCTTAGTATATACCAAATAATAAAGACTTTATATATATATATAAACTATTTAAACCACACAACCCTCCTTTCAGGTAGGTACCATTGCTAACCTCAATTCACATGAGATGACAAACCTGAAGGACAAAGAGTTTAAGTAGCTTGCTGAGGTTTCCACAGCGAGTAAATGGCCAGCTGGTTTCAAACCCCATCTGGACTGATAGTTTGTCGTCGACTGCGGCACTGTTCAGCGTCACCAGTGATGTGTGCATGGTGAATGATGCTCTCGTGCTAGTCACAAAACTGACACAGATGTTTGCTGAAAGCTTCATTCAGCTCAGCACTTGAGGCAGAATCTTGACGGGGGATTATTTCTAAATCTCTGTGGGAACAAGGCTAATAGGTTGGAAGTGGGACTGGCAGGGCTCGCCATCAGGAAAGGAAAGGCCGGCGCCTTCAGCCATGTAACCTGCACTTTTGTGGAGCTGGTTTCCGAGGGTTATTGAAAACGGTGGGCATGATTCTGTGGCATAGGCTGCCAAACAAGGAATATCGACTACCTAAGAGGCCTCGAGATGTGCACTTCTGCTTGTATAGTAGCAAATGATATGGGTTTAGATCCATTGCTCAATTTCAGGAAGAGAGCAATATATTGTTTATCTGTTTTGTTTTTCAATAGCATGGCGATTTCAGTCAACAGGTAGTTTACTAATGAGTCAGTAATTGGATGTGGTCTCCAAAAAGCCAGTTTAGTCCTGCATTTATAGAAATACAATGTCTAGCATGAGGCTGAGGCTCCATTCTGTTCCACTTTGGTCAGATCACACATCAGTAACTGCATTTAGTGCTGGGCGCATAACCTTAAATGGACACAACTGCCTTCCTTGTAAGCTGTATTGTCCAATATTGTCCAATATTCTGCTGCCCCTTTGAGGCTATGTGTGAGAGTTTGAGACCAGTACTTGGCTTTATAGAGGAGTTGAAATGTGAACATGATTAAAATAATGGTTTGATGTTTCAGGAAGCTATGAAACGGCTAACCCAGCTTCTCTCAAAGGATCTCGGAAAGGAGCTCTATGAACTCTGGGAAGTAAGTGCATGTGGTGGGTTGTGTGGTGCCTGGGAGCCTGGCGCGGGTGGTGTTGGTTACGAGGCCCAACAGGGTTTCTTTAGGCAGAATCGTCCCTTCTTCCGAGGTATGTACTTGCAAGCGAACTTTTGGAACACTTTGAGTCGGGGAATAATGGAGTGGAGTTGTGTTGCATTTCATACATTAAAAAAAAATGGCTCCTGAGTTTATGAAACCAATTCCTTGTATTATCTCTTAAGGAAGAAAGACCTTTTACAAAAATTCCTACTCTTGTGACTCCTAATTATTGTAAATATGGTGGCAGTATTTGTTATTTTCTTAGTTAGCCATCAACAACTGGCTAAAGAAAGCTACCTGCAAAATTTACTTAACTACAATAGTAGTTCACAAATGAAGGTGCTACAACAGTCACTTAGCAAGACTTTGGATTTGGGAAACTGTAGAACACGGAGCCTTAAATGATCCCATAATCCCCAAACCAGTAACAATTGTATGATCTTGTAAAAGTCATTGGTTGATTTAGTTACACTTGTTAGAGAAGATCTCAGGCCAGGGACAGTGGCCGCCCTGGGATGTGACAAGCCTCCTTTAGAATTGTGCTGCCAGGCCAACCAACACCTACAAAGACGGCAGGGGTTAAATTTCTTTATTGGAGATGCTGTGGGATATTGATGACTGATGTGGAAGAGAAGAGTTGTGAGCTTGTCTACTTTTGACATGAAGTTCATCTTTACATGCTATGAAAGGGATGGGGAACTCATTTTTTAGGTGTTTTTTTTTGTGTGTGTGTGTTTTGGGTTTTTGTTTGTTTGTTTGTTTGTCTTTTTATTAAGGGCCAGAGGAGAAAAATGAAGACCATATGAATAAATAGCAACACATTTTTCAGACAGAATTATAGAAATTTATTTCTAGAAAATATTATTCCAGGCTCTTAAACTCTCCGTACCCAATCAGCACAGCCCTGCGAATGAAGAGCTACTCCAGCTCAGTAGGTGGTCACAGGGGCCCAGAGGTACAGACTGAGGATACACGTTAAGAATCGTGTTTATTGGGTTGTTAGCGAACAGGGTGAGTGTGTATGTGGGCTTCATGTCAGCTCCAGGGGAGGCTCCTTCCTTGCCTCTCCCTCGCTTCTGGTGAAGCCTCCGCTGGCTTCGGCACCCCTTACCCTGTAGACACACTGCTCCAATCTCTGCCTCCACAGTCAGGTGGTCTCCCTGTGTCTGTATGTGTACCCACCGGAAGTTCCTTCTTCTAATAAGGACACCAGTCATTGCATTAGGGTCCATCCTAATCCAACATTTAATTATATCTGCAAAGACCCTATTTCCAAATAGGCATAGATTCCAGAAAGGCACGCATTTTGGGGGAATATTATTTAAGCCGGTATACAAGCTCATAATAACTTAAGCATTTTTATAATTCATGTCCAATATTATCAGTACATGGACTTCAGTATCAGATTTCTATGTTCAAACACTGGCCCCTCTGTTTAGTAGCTATGTGATCTTGGGCAACCTATTGAACCTCTTTGTTCCTTAATTTCCTCATCAATAAAATGGCAATAAAAATAGTACACCTATCTTATAGGATCATAAGGCAATCAAATTGATAAGTATAAAGCATTTAGAATATTGCCTGATACATGGTAAGCTCTATTTTTCTTCTGTTTCCATCCCATATGTTCTGATTTTGGATTAAGAAAATATAGTCATTCTGTACCCCGGGAACTTAAAGTAGTACTAATAGGAAATGCCAGTTAATTGATTTCTGCAGCTATTCACACTATAAATAGCTGTCAGCCCAGAGTCACATCTGTTTAAAGCAGTTAAACATCCTTGATTATAATTTATCTTTTACCATAAAGTGTGAAATTAAATTTTAGCAAGTCAAGAGAAAACATTTTCTTTCTCAAAGTATCACAGAAAGGAGCCTACCCCACAGCCTGCATTTTGCTTTGGAGAAACATCCCTGGTTGGAAAGTGAAATCGAACAATGCCAGTACCATTATTTTTTGAGAGAAAACCCAGTGATGTATATTTTGAAAATAAATATGTATTTTCCTCACAATCCGTTATAAAATATGTTATTTCCTAATGGTTTTGTAATCTTTTTTCCCACTTTCAACTGAGAAAAATCCTGGACTGCTGTGCTTCAAGTACTCAATTTATTTTTATTAAATAATGAACTTAAATTTATTAAATATAAATATATAACTGTAAACAAACATTTAAATTAAGTGTAACTATTTCTAAGTGCCTTTGAAATAAAACAAAAATATATTGGTTTTACATTAAAATTATTTCTCTGTACAATTTTAAGCTCGATCAAAATTCAAATAGCTGTCTTAAAAGAATAAGGCATTTAACAAAAACTAAGAAACCATCAGTAATTCCCATCACATTATCTTGCCAAGAAAGCATGACAGGTTCATTATGGAACACATCTGGGGTGGAATTACAAATGAGAACTTGGCAGGGAAGCCAGTGGGAGCACTGTGGTGTTAATAGAATGATTCTATGTAGTATTAATTGGGACTTTGTTCGTGTGGCATGTGTCATGCTAAGAAACAGACCTCCTGTAGCCCGTTTCAGGTGTGCACTGAGGAGGGAAGGACCAATGGGAGGAGGAAAGGTAAAATCTGCTCCCTGTCCACTTCCTTCACCACCTCCTTGCCACACACGCCATGAAGAATTCACAGATCCTGACTGGAGTGAGTCATAACCGGGACAGACTGAAGTCCTGCCTATTTAGAAAGCAAGGACAGCCTGGCCAGCCTGGCTCAGTGGTTGCACATCAACCTATGAGTCCAAGTATAAAGTGCTAGCCAAAATTAAATGAGAAAGCTAGAAATTTCCTTAAAGGAAAAGGAAACCCAACATTAAATGGAGAGAAATAATTTGAGAAGCATGAGATGAAATATTAGCTTGAAGTTCAAAAAGACCTATACCACTCAGGTGGATTAAAACATTGGTCACCAACTGTTGGTCCACAGACCACTGGTGGTCCGTGAGGTCCAAAAGGTCAGCGACTGCTGGATTAAAGAATAATAAGGTTGAGATGGAGACAAGATACTTAACAGGAAGAAAAATGCTTAGTGTCAATATGAACAAATGGGACTTCCAAGGCTTGCATCTGGTGGAACACATGGCGGTATGAGCACACCCTTCTGGCTGGAGTGGTGATGCTGGCTGTGAAATTACAGGGGACGCAACTCTGAAGGCTTTGCGTAAGGTGGAGATGTGGCCAGTTCAGAACGCGCTTTTACTAGTAGCTGTGACTGCTTTCAGGCAGTGGAATCAGAATTTTCCTGGGTTTCCCTGTCCTGAGCCCTAATCATGCTGCTCTAATTGTCCCTTTCTTAGGAGTATGAGACCCAGTCCAGCGCGGAGGCCAAGTTTGTGAAGCAGCTGGACCAGTGTGAGATGATTCTGCAGGCATCCGAGTATGAAGACCTGGAGAACAAACCGGGGAGACTGCAGGACTTCTATGACTCCACAGCAGGTACGCAGTGCTGTTTCCAATAAGCACCGTCGCCGTTTGGCTTCCTCCCAGTGCCATAAGTGACACTAAGCCGGTGAATCCACTGTTGTGACCCTCTTCCGACCTTTCCGTGTGGAGCATCTCAAGGGAAAGTGGTGGGATCACGGGGAGAGCTGGCCTGGGGCGGGAGAGCATTGCCCCCTGGAGCCCGAGCTGCGTGCCCCTGGGCAGTCTCCTGACCCCGCCGTCTCCTCTCTGAGAAATGGGCATCATCATACTTGCCCTACGTAGGTCATAGGTCGGTTTTGAGGTTCAGGAGGAAGGATGCATGTGAAAGTGCATCAGGATCTCTAAGTGCTTCATGGGTACAAGGTCATGTGGAGGTGGAGGTAGGAATAGAGATGTAAGACAAGAAAGCCCCACATGGCTGAAGTCACCATACCGGTGTCGTCATAGCACAGACCTGCAGTCAAAGTGCTTGGGTGTGAATCCTGGTTCTGCCCGTAAAATCTGTGACCTCCAGTAAATTCCTTCACCTAGCTCTGGGCCTTAGTTTCCTTATTGTGAAAGTACAGATAATGACAGAATTTACTTTTCAGGGCTGTTTGAGGATACAGTGGGTTAATTCATGTGAAGTGCTTAGAATAATACCTGGCAGGAACTCCCAGCTATCTTCCTTTTGAACCAGTTTCCAGAGTGGGGAGCCAAGTTTCCTGGATTAGTGATGGCTGGGGTGACGCCCGGTGTTCCTGTCTCTCGCTGGAGTAACTCACCTCTCCCCGGGAGCGCTTCAGGCTCAGCCAGCCCCCACCTGAGAGTAGTTCGGGAGAGCCTTCTGGGACCTCGCAGGACCCTCCGGTGGCCCCACCAAGGAGATGAGGCTCCCAGATCGCAGACGATTGCCTTGAAATGAAGTTGATTGGATTTTCCTTCTCTCTTCCAGCCCACTAGGTCTGCGCTGGCCTGGCCCTCATTATTTCTGTATTGGGCCGTTGTTATGACTGCCTAACTGAGCCGGCTGGGCTCGCCATTCATCCTGAGGGTTTGCTTTTATAACTGTGGCTTTCCTCTTCCTCAAAAATAAAATCCTGGCACTTTTGAGCGGCCTAAGGCCACTCGCCTCTCTGGTTTCCTTCCCTAAACCTCCCTGTCAGGGATGAAGTGTTCCCTTCCTTCTGCTGATCTGCTCTGGTCCAGAGCTCACCATGGTGTTCACTGCCTGACCTGCCTTCTCCTAATGATGCTGCTCCTGGGGTCTCTTCCCAGACCCACACTTGCTCACCCCACCCTAGCAGGTGTGTGAGGGCCAACACCAGCTTTGTCTCATGTGTCCTTTGATGTAGGCAGTGCTCAAAAATGTTTGACTTCAGTTAAATAGAAATGTTGTAAACCGGGGGTCAGCAAACTGTGGCCCATGGGCCAAATTGGCCCACTGTACTTGTTTGTGTAACGTTTTATTGAAACATCCACACTCATTCCTTATGTATTGTTTATACTGCTTTTGTGCTACAACAGCAGAGTTGAGTAATTGGCAAGATAGTCATGTAAGTTCACAAAGCCTAAAATATTTAATATCTGTCTCTTTATGGAAAAGGGTTACCAGCTGTGTGTTGCTGTTTTTTTAAAAATATATTTTTATTGATTTCAGAGAGGAAGGGAGAGAGATAGAGATAGAAACATCAATGATGAGAGAGAATCATTGATTGGCCGCCTCCTGCGCGTCCCCCACTGCGGGGGATCGAGCCCACAACCGGGCATGTGTCCTTGGCCGGAATTGAACTTGGGACCCATCAGTCCGCAGGCTGACACGCTATCCACTGAGCCAAACGGGCTAGGGCATGCCAGCTGAGTTTTAAGCAATGATTGGGTTCTAGGATAGCATATTTTACCGATAATGTAACTAAAATATAAGTAAGTCATGTTTACGTGGTGCTTTGCATTTTAACATTATCTTCCATTGACACATTCTCTATGAAAAACAAAAAATGAAATACGAAAATACTAGTGAAATAAAAATGTGGGAACCGGAAGGTCACCTAGCTTACACTCCCTGTTTTACTGAGGAAGAAACCTGAGCCTGGAAAGAGGGTGGCATGCCCATAACTGAGCTGAGAGGAACTTCCCTGCACTGAGCTCCTCCCGAGTTTCCTTGCGGCTCCTCATTCAGAGGCTGCCTGATGACGGTCCTCCCCGCTCCCGTCTAGTCGACAGTCTCGCCTGATTCTCATCCTTATGAGCGGCGACATCTGGGGTGACAGAGAATAGGCTCCGGGCGGTCCCCTCCGGCCCCGCTCCAAACCAGAAGGAAGGATCTGGAATTGTGTTCTGCATTGGAGTAAAACATGGGTCAGGTCACAGAGCCAAGCCCCTGACAAAGCCTGGGCTCAAGCTGGAGAGATGAATGTATTCTCTCATCTTTCTCCGTCTTCTTGCCTTGCAGGAAAATTCCATCACCCGGAGATAGTCCAGCTGGTTTCTGAACTCGAGGCAGAAAGAAATGCTAACATTGCTGCTGCTGCTGCCACCGCCGGCGAGGCGCACTCCTGAGAAGTTCTCTATGTAGTTGCAGTCCTGTAACCAACGTTTTATTTTCCCACTGAATGTATTGTGTTTGCCACTGTTGGTCTGTTAATTTCCCCAGACGTGAGTCTGTTTATTTTCAATTGCCTGGACTCCAGCAAGAAACACGATACAATCTGGGCCATAAAAGAGGCCGCGGAAAAGGATGTGGTCGTGAAAATGCATGGATGAGGACTTGGCGGGGAGTGCGGGGGGAGGTGTCTTTTTATGAACTAAATAAATACATTTTAAAACCCTAAACTTTGGCATATTTATTGGAGGTTTTAAATCTACTGAATTTATATCCTATATTCCCGAGGGCCAGATTCATGGAACGATAGGACATTTAATTATGATTGCTTTTAAGAAGAGGTTTTTCAGCCGACTTAGTGATAAGGATCTAGGAAAAAGAATGTATTATGATGGCTTCTCTGCTCAGGCGAAATGCTGCTTTATTCAGGTGATCACTCTCCGGAACCAGATGTCTAATTCCACCATGACCGGCTTTAGGCCTCTGACGATGGACTTGTAAACCTGCTAACAGGCTCTGACCCTTCCCCCAGTTCTGTTGCTCACTTGGAGATATAAATTGGGGCATGCAATTCCACATGTTACTTGTCTTCCGCGGTGCATTGTTTCTTGTCTGATTTACAGATGTGCAGACTTTGATGATAGGAATGTTTACCAAGTGAGAAATAGGTAATAAGGATTGCCAGGGCCTCACGTAGGGAACACAGCAGATCTGTTTCTTCCCCTCATTTCTGTCAGGATAAGTGGTCTGCCCGCTGACCTTGCTCAAGCATTGAATGGGGAGGAAGGGAAGACAACTTGATGCAGACCTGCTCAATATTTTGCGCTGATAGATTTTGGTGTGGAACATGATGCCTGTCCCTTTAATTTAAATGTCAGTTTCTATTTGAAGAAAGCCTTTTCAGCTGGCACGGTGAGCAATCTAGGCAGCGTTTCTTTGGAAACTCTTTGCAGTCTCCATGGATACCCAGTCTGCGGGAAGCAAGGTGCATGATCTCTTCAGAGGCAGCACACGCATGTGCACATAGCTAGCTGCTCTGCGTTGAAAAGAGCAGCGCTGCTTTGCATCCAAATGCTGCTGCATCATAACAACAGTTTTTAAAAGGAGGTAAATGATTGGAAACCAGCACTGCGCTTATTATTGGAGATGCAAGTTAGTAGGAAAACAGAACCACATCTATTAGTATTTTAGAGTGTATTCTCCTGGCACAAGAAAACTCCAGATAAGGTTCAAATATTTATGACCAGATTTCCTGTGGCCCTTGAGTATTATTTGGGATGTTTTGCCTGCTGTATTTTTTTTTTGTAAATTCACAGAGAGATTTGGAACCCTCAACTTGTCACTTAATCATCATCTCAGTTTCCATTTACCTACCAAGTGAGGGCTCACACAGTCCCAAGCCTTCCTCACTGAGGTAATGTGTTTAAAAACAATGAAAATATAATGGTGCTATAAATAAAATATAAGAACAAATCTAAGGTCAATTTTTTAAAAAGTTGTTGAATTCACCAGCCAACGTCTACAAATATTTGAGCATTATCCCTTAAAAAATGTAGTTTTCCCCCAACCGGTTTGGCTCAGTGGATAGAGCATCAGCCTGAGGACTGAAGGTTCCCAGGTTCGATTCCGGTCAAGGGCATGTACCTTGGTTGCGGGCACATCCCCAGTAGGGGGTGTGCAGGAGGCAGCTGATCGATGTTTCTCTCATCGATGTTTCTAACTCTCTGTCCGTCTCCCTTCCTCTCTGTAAAAAGTCAATAAAATATATATTTTTTAAAAAATGTAGTTTTCACCTGGCTGGTGCAGCTCAGCATTTGAGCATCAGCCCAGGAACCAAGAGGTCACCAGTTCAATTCCCAGGTTGCGGGCTCAATCCCAGTAGGGCGCATGCAGGAGGCAGCCAATCGCTGTTTCTCATCGATGTTTCTATCTGTCTCTCTAAAAATAAAAAATATTTTTTTAATGTATTTTTCTTGGAAGCTACCTGCTACTTGCCTGGAATTGGTTTTCTGAATAACAAACCCTGTGATTATGATGAGGAGTAAATACTGTTCTTGGCCTGAACTGTTGGTTCACAAACCGGCCGCCATACACAGAGAGCAAGAAGAGACTGAAGGAAGAGGCAGAACACTCCCAGTGGTTCTCAGCCTTCTGGCCCTTTAAATACAGTTCCTCATGTTGTGACCCAACCATAAAATTATTTTCGTTGTTACTTCATAACTGTAATGTTGCTACTGTTATGAATCGTCATGTAAATATCTGATATGCAGGACGGTCTTAGGCAACCTCTGTGAAAGGGTCGTTCGACTGCCAAAGGGGTCGTGACCCACAGGTTGAGAACCGCTGTGAGTCTAGACTGATAGGGGCAGGTTTAACACGCAAGGGAACTGGAATATGGGACTTGTCTGGGGTGGCCACAAGGTGAGTAAATCGCTGCACCTGCCAGCATTACTGTTCTTGCCCTTTGGGGCCATTATTAAGCAAAATAAGGGTTACTTGAACACAAGCACTGCATCTGATCATTCAGAGGGCTACTAAGTGACTACTGGGTGGGGAGCATATACAATGTGCAGACACCAGACAAAGGACTGATTCTCGTCTCTGGCATGATGGAGAGCGATGGCTCGAGATTCCGTGATGCTGCTTAGAATGATGTGCAATTTAAAACTCGTGAATTGTTTATTTCTGGAATTTTTCATTTAGTACTGTTGGACCGAGGTTGACTAAGGGTAACAGACTGCAGAAAGGGAAGTGGGGGATAAGGAGGACTACCATACATTGTTTGTTGTGGTATCATTTTGTATAGATGTGGTCCTGACCAAATGACATTTTGATTTGTTACTAAAAGGTCACGTTCATTGTGGCAAACGCATTCGCACTTGTGGAACACGACTACTGCCACTGCGTGTGAACTTGCAAAGTGAGGGCGAAACAGGCAGCTCTTGAGTGAGCAGGCAATACAGCAATGAAACCTCTCGCCCAAGACTACCTACCTACCAGCAAATGTCTTGATTATTCTAATCATTGATGTGGCTTGTTCATGCACATCTTATGACAAAATAAAAGACAACCTTATATCACTCCCAGATATTAGAGTGAATAATTTTTTAAAAGCTTTGCAATTAATACAGGTGACAAGAATATAGCTTTTACCAAACTGATGAAATGAAGAATGTTTTAAATAGCTAAATATATTTGCAGCTTTGCGGCATCAACATTAACTTTCTTAATTCTTTTACTTTTTAAAAAAACATATTTTTCTTGATTTCAGAGAGGAAATGAGAGAGGAAGAGAGAGCTAGAAACATCAGTGATGAGAGAGAATCATGATTAGCTACCTCCTACACGCCCCACACCTGGGATCGAGCCCAAAACCCGGGCATGTGTCCTGACCAGGAATCGAACTGTGATCTTCTGGTTCATGGGTCAGTGCTCAACCACTGAGCCACGCTGGCTGGGCTTGAGTATTTTTCTACCCAATTTTGATACAGTGCTTTCAGACTGTAAGGCTGGGACTACTGTGTGCAAAAACAGTTTGGTGAATGAAGATACTTGTTTACTAGTACATAAGCACCATAACTGCTTTTTTTATATTACAATGTGGTGTACTGAATGTGGTAAAAATAAATAAATGAATAAACAAATAAAGGTGATGCGGTTACAAAAAAACGACCATTTCAAATGCACTAGGCAACTGCAGATTCGGCACAGAGGTGAGTACCCACATGCAGTGGACGAGTAACATGGTCAGAAGCCAGTGGGGCAGGGCTCAGCTTCAGCCAACAGGCTGGAAGGAGAAATTAGGGCGAGCAGCAGTGCACCTACTGGCAGGACTTCTTTGTCCACATTCGTCCACTCTGGTTCAAGTTTACAGCCCTATACCTGTCTCTGCTATGCGTCCAGGACTCAGAGATCATGTGGCCCTGAGCCAGCTTGATTTTTAGTTAGGTACACAGACTGCCCTGCTCCATTAATTAGAATTGAATTTTGCAGACTAGCTTTATTTCACATGTCCACTTCTATTTAATAAATTTTAGAAATGAACAGTGAACATACTAACTATATATAGGCTACATATATTACATAGATTATATGTTATATCCTCTATAATAAAAGTATAGTATGCTAATAAGACCAGACGTCCTTCTAAAGTCCTCCCGGATGACCTTCCAGGCAAAGCTGGGGCTGCAAGGGCCAAGGCAAGCCACCGTGGGCTGCAAAGGCCAAGCCCCTTGCATGAATTTTGTACATTGGGCCTCTAGTTTATAATAAAAGCCTAATATGCTAAGTATCCGGTTGTCTGGTTGGCTGTTCAACCAATCAAAGCGTAACATGCTAATGATATGCTAAGGTCACTCAACCATTCACTATGACATGCACTGACCACCAGGGGGCAGACAGCCGACTGGTCGACCAGTCGCTATGACGTGCACTGACCACCAGGGGACAGACGCTCCGACTGCTGGGGTCCAGTCGATCCGGACTGAGGGAGACGGGGCAGACAAGCACTGGAGCCCTCCCTCAGTCCCTCCCCAGCTGGCCAACCTCCTGCGTCTCTCCCTGGCCCTGATTGTGCACTCGTGGGGTCCCCCGAGCTGGCCTGCGCCTTCTCGCAATCCAGAGGCCCTCGGGGGATGTTGGGGGGCTGGTTTTGGCCTGACCCCGCAGGCCAGGCCGAAGGACCCCACTGGTGCATGAATTCGTGGACTGGGCCTCTAGTATTTATATATGTATCTAAATTGTGATTTTTTTTTTACTTTAGTTAGTAGGTCTAGTTTGTGTGCATTTTTAAAATGTAAGTATAGGGTATATCTCTGCTACCTAGTAACACATGTTATGTCCCATTTAAAAGGAAAGAGAAGCATATGATGTGGAAGGTAAAAGTTACTGCGGAAATCTGATTGCATTAAATGATGCTTTTTTCATTCACGTGACCAATTTTACAAACTGGCAGGAGTCTGCACTTTTCCTTTCTTTCTTTCTTCTTCTTCTTTTTTTTTTTAAGAGACAGACTGGAAGAGAGAGGGACAGAGAGGAATATCAATGTGAGAGAAGTCGATTGGTTGCCTCTTGCACATGCCCTGACCAGGACCCAGGCCCGGGACCAGAATCGAACCCAAGACCCTTCGGTCCATAGGCAGAGGCTCTATCCACTGAGCTAAATAGGCTAGGGTGATTCTCCTATTTTCTAGCTACTGTATTCCTTTTGCAGATACCCTTACATATTTAGCAGTTTACCTGAGTTAACTACTACTCTATGTAGATTAGAGAGACTTTTAGAATTGAAGTTTTAGCATCCTAACGTAGCTAAGATTATAATTGCTTACCTATGTCTTTCCATGTTCACCCGATAGCAGAAGTTGATTTAAACTCGCGTCTGCAGAATTATTGCTATCACCTTTTAAGGTCATTGATATCCCTGAAGACTTAAAGAAATTAAGAACTCAAAGTCACCATTAAAATCCATTATTTTAATTGCTTAAATAAACGTGTAATTAATGTAGGTGAGGCGGACCACAAGCAGTTTGATGAAATTTGCAGCGTCATCCTATTGATGGGGACAGAGGCAGCGCCCCCCAGTGGACAGACTGAACTGAAGGGGGGTGCTCACTCAGCCTTCAGAGACATGCGTATGGCAATGGCGTTCAAGCAAAAGTCAAAGCAAACAAGAGCCTATGTTTGAAAAATATGTCTGAATTACACAACGAGAAGGGTCATGACCAATTTCGTACCTGCTCAAACCAGGACATTTGAAAAGATGGCCACCTGTGACTACTTAAGGGTGCGGTCGAATGGTCCATTAGCAACACAAATACAAATGGAAATCACTTTATGAAACTTTGTGGAGAGGCCATTTGAAGGTCAAGGCCTGGGTTCTGCAGTGGGATTTTGGTCTTCATATCCGTGTGGGTGCGCGGGGTGATGGGCTTGGGCTGGCAGCCCTAGCACTGCAGTTCCTCCTCCGCCCGCCGGGGGGCGCCCGCCGAGCTCTGCGCGCTGGCGTGGGCAGTGGAGCTGAGCACCTCTTCAAAGCTGCCTCCGCCCGAGTTCGTCCCGCCTACTTTCGTCTGAAAGGGGCAGAGAAGCAAACATGCAGTTAGTTCATTTTTTTCTGAAGTGTTTTTATAACATCGACTACTCTCAAGTTCGGAATTACTTTTTTTCCCCCTTGAGACAGTCTGTAAAGGATGTAGAGAAGTCAGCTTCCTTTGGCAGAGGGCTAGGATGTCATGCATGCCTGGGTTCCGGGACTGGAATAGAAACTTAAATTTTGTACAATAGTAGCAACTCTCTCTCTTCGACATTCTCAATCCCTCCAGGAGCATAACCAGATCTGTGGATTCGAATTACCTCCTCACTCACCCAGAGAAACGATTTAATTCATAAAAAACAGACTTTAGATATATTTCCCCAATTTTACAAATGTATGGACATTTTTAAGTGACTTAGACTTAGGATTTCCACTTGCGATTTAACTAGGCAATCTGCATTTCTGACAAATGTCTATTGACAAGGCAGCGTGGCTCCACGGAACATGATGGTTGGTCTCTGCTTTGAGGGTTGTAGATGAATGAAGTTTTAAGCCCTGGCCACTTCACATCTTTCTAGGCAGTTGCCTTTACAGGAGGAAAAGCCCTTTAAATGGCCCTTTAAACACCCCTTTTTTTGTGTCCTTGTTATAAAGCATAGACTCAGGAAGAAATCAATTTTTAATTAAATAATACAATTAAGTATTTTGAAAAATTCCCTAATAAAAAGTTCTTCGAAAGTATATTCTTTAGTCAGCCAGAATGCTTAGTGAAAGTCTTAATAATAGTTACATCAGCCTTTCTTTAACCATGAACAATATGGATTATCACTCCGAGGAAAAGAAAGGTATAGACAAGGTTGCTATTCTCAAACTGCTGTCATGCCTCACTGTCACCAAGGTGATCCCTCACAAGAACATACACCACTCTGGGGAAGCAGTGTATCCGCCTACGCAGTGATGGCGAACCTATGACACTCATTTTTTTGGTTGATTTTTCTTTGTTAAATGGCATTTAAATATATAAAATAAATATCAAAAATAGAAGTCTTTGTTTTACTATGGTTGCAAATATCAAAAAATTTCTATATGTGACACGGCACCAGAGTTAAGTTAGGGTTTTTCAAAATGCTGACACGCCGAGCTCAGAAGGTTCGCCGTCGCTGGCCTACGGCCTGGCTGCCCCTTTAAAGCCTTAACCAGGGTTCGAAAGCAGTCCAAGCATTACAAGCAAACACACACTTCCCTCCAATTGTCACTAAGTGCCTCTCTGCCTCTGTCATTACAAAGCTGAATTTTTCCATCAGGTGGGGGTCGGGAAATCCATTGGGGAAAGTGACAGATAAACACAAGGTATCCCAAAACACGTGTACACACGTTACCAGCTGATAGCTCAGTTTTGAAAATGCAATGTATTTAATAAACACTGCCTTTATAATTATTCAAAGTGTGTGCATACATTTGTGGGGGACACCCTATATCTTAGGCCTGGGAATCACAAATACTCCAATTAGCATTGTAGAAAGTGGCCAAAGATGATGCGTAAGTGAATGAGCACGGCTGTGCTTCAGAAAGGCTGTATGAAACTGCAGTGTGAATTTCCTGTCATTTCATTTTCACAAGTCACAATATGATTTTTCCTTGTTGTTGTTATTTTTCAGCCATGAAAGAGGTGTAAAAACCATTCTTAGCTTACGGGCCATTCAAAATAGGTGACCAGCTAGACTCGGCCCCCACGCCTCAGGGGACAGACCTCTGCACAGAGCATTCGATTTCTCCTCTCCTCTTAGCACTGGGAAGGAGGGGGTTGCTTTCCATCATGTGACTTTTTTTCACTATGCTTATTTCTTTTCTGGGAGAAGCAAGATGAATCCACTGTGATTTCCTCTATTAATAGTCCCCATTCTCTTTATTTTATTCGCATTTGCAGTACACGTTACCACAGTATTGAATCAGATCAATACAAATTACTCCTTTTCTGCTGGGCTTCCTTTCATTCTTTCTCTCCTACTTCTTGATTTTCTCACATCAAAACAGAAAATAAAAGGAGGAGGGGACCACTTTGAAATAAAGCTCTTTGGCCAAAAGGCGTGAAATAAAGGCGTTTCCTAACTAGCCCTGCTGATTCCCCAGTCATTCCCTCAGCAGGCAACAGCCCCAGGATCCGCAACCGAAGAACATGACAGAAATGTTGTAAAAGATTTAGGACACAAAAGTAAACTATACAGAAAATAAGCTATATAAAAAAGGGCCAAACATCTATTATTTAGGCTGAAGAAAAAAAGAAATGAGAAATTTGCAATTATGAGGGAGTGGGAGGTTTTACACAAAGCATGATTATTGGCTATTCTCCATCGCCTGGGTGGGCAGAAACAGAGGGACTAGGCATTGACCGTGACACAGGAAGCGAGTGGGCTGTGAGTCTTGTTAAACCCATGGACAATCATGTTAACACAGAATTCACTTTCAGGGACACGGGCTAGTTTCCAGCTGGCTGAGTTAGTTTTGTGCGTGTTTGAAGGAAGAGACAGGCTCTCTACCTTCCATCCCAGTGAGGTAAGAAAGTTAGAAGCTGAGTGTGAAAAACACTTAAATCGTAAAATCATGCGTGAGCTGTGAGCTTACCAGAGTTTCCTAAAAGCAAATGAAAATTGGTTGCTCTTTATTCTTCTTTTGCTTCTTCATAGCTCCTTCTTCTAAAGAAAACCTAAAAAGCATAACTTCTCCTAAGTCAGAACGTGTCTAGCAAGCAACAGAATGCATCCTCTTTGGCGTGCCTTAGGCTGAGAACCAAATGTTGAGAAATTGACTCCTAGGGGCTTTTGAGACTTTTGTTTTAAAACAGGATATTGGAGCAAGAGAACTGTCCGAGATAACGCATGTCCCTCCTTACCAAACATTTTCCCTGCCAATGGGGGCAATTTAATGGCTCCTACTGGTCACTCAAGTGATGATGCTGACAAGCAGAGGGGAGAAACTGCACAACTAGAAACTGCTGGTAAATGAAACCAGTGAAGGCATGATAGATGCTGAGTAATTATTTCATTCTTGGGCCTTAAACACCTAATCACAGGCCTAATAAAGCAGGAGATTTCTATGTTAAAGACCCTCCCCCTAAGAGGAAAGACCTTCTAAATCAAAATCAGTAAGAGCACCCAGGGCCTCTCGTGAGGAACAGACGCCCTCACAGACCCTTCTCAGGCAGTACGGTGACAGGGGATTCAGAAGCAGCTGGAATTAGTATGTGCAAATATCTGCTTTAGATCCAGTTAAAGATCATCTGTATTTTTAATTTTCTTAGTAATAAGGAAATGCAGAAATGGATTCTCTACAAAACAGTGATAATGATACCAAGATATAGGTAAGTCATTGTTTAGGTGATATCTTTAAAAACATAATCTTAGCAGTTTCAGTGATTTTTCCTGCTTTAAACGTTCTATACATTTTAAGATTAGACTGAATTTAATTTCGCTCTTTTTTCCTCTGTAAAATAACTTATCTGTGCTGAAACAAAAAAACTCAATAAAATTTTTTAGCTCCTACTATGTATGCCACAGGCATATTTTTAGTTTATACCCAGGGATCCAATGCTTGTTACAAAATAATGCATCATGTGACTCCGCTTTATTTTCCCTGCATGATAACCAAACTGTGCTGTGCTTAATATGTGAATTGGATAAATAAGTTTAGTGAGTGGCAGTATAACACAGGGAGCCAAGTTTGTGTTTGCTAGTCCATGTCCATCCCAGGGGAGCGCTGAACTGTTATTGAACTTATACTCTCAATTCAGAATTCACAGATCCTGCGGTCCATCCACATCCCCTCTCACTTACCTACGTTTTGAGGAATAGCATTAAGAGGTCTAACCAGCTAACCAGTGCAGAGATGAATACGTACCCCAATTCACTTCCATGAACAATTCATTTCTAGTGGCATATTTGTCAGGATACAGTGACACTACCCAAGCCTGGTTCTATTTACGGATTTCTATGTGAAGCCTGGCTGTGCAAGGCTGCCTTCTCGACTGCACCGCATGTTGGCAGTGCCACCCTTGGAACTAACCACAGCAATGACTATGCTGTCCTGATTCAATGACCCGATGACACAACATTCACTTCATCTGTACCTTAAGACTTGTGACAGTTGTCTCAACCCTCTCCTCAAATGATTTGAAAGTAGGAGAATTCCTAAAATAACAAAAAAAGAGAGGTCAGCTCCAAAGACCTGCCTGTGTTAGTAACTCAGCTGTCTGATTTCTGCTCTTAGAAACATCACTTCGCAACAGAGCTAGCTGTCGGTGTGGCACCTACCCCGACCACGTTTTAATAACATGAATTTCATTTCTGCCAGGTTAGATTCAGAAACCATATTTGACATGGAATTTTTCCAAGTGGAATAGTGAGACACTCAACTGTAGAATAGTACAGCATTTGGCAACAGTACAAACGTAATAATTCCATCATGCACCGTGAGTCATTATCAATGAGTCAAAGTAGTGATAGCTTAATTTTTCATTTACTAATTGCTTCTATCACAACTCTCTTTCTCCCAACTTTTTTTTATTTTGTAAGCATGCAGAATCTGTCTAAAGAATGTCATGTTTGCGTTTTCTCACTTGGAATTTTAAAGTTATTCATTTCAGTGTATGTGAGACAAGACAGAAATAGCTCAAGGAAAAGAAGGTTTATAAGTTTTTCTTTTCAGTGCCTTCAAAAGTAATCATTTGGTCAACTTTCATAAAGAAGTGTTTCTGAAAGTCAATGCTTTGATTATTGTAAGTTGAAATATTACTTATTACTTGTCTAATGCTTCATCAAAATGGTGTTATTAGTATGTGGCATATTCCCTTCCGAAGAGGATATAACTAATTGTTCTCTTAGCAGAGCGAAACTTCACAGTCCACTGACATTTTATTTGTGACTCGCCATTGTGTTAAATAATCTATACCATTTGTAACTATAAGTGTTAAATACTTCATTTGGTGCCTTTTGGTTTCCTATACTGGGTTTGGTCACATGACATGATTTAATGACAACATTACCATAAAAATTGATATCACCAAGTCCAACTAAAGAAATGAAAACTGAACTAAAAATGTGTCTTAAATCTTGCGTCCGTGTCAGCTTTCAACAACAAGGACAGCCATCATTTTCACACCAAACAATTCCATTTGATAAGCCAATTATTATTCTCTCTTGAGTGCAGAGGAAAGAAAATAAGAGGAATGGCCTGGAGAAACTTCGGAAGGGAGCATGGCTATAAAATAGGGGCTTCATTACATGGTGTGGAATGGAGCATCGCTCTAATACTATCAAGAGGAAAGTAATGTGGAGGACATGCTTTTGAGTGAATCTGGCTTTGTTAGGGATTGCTGCCCAAGACTTGGACGCTCCAGATGATCAAAAACGTATGTCTTTGCATTCTGGCTGCATGAATTCACAATGGCGAGATCAGAAGGCCCAAGCATGGCTCCGCATTTTGTATTTGATTCAAACATGAGTTGAATTCCTATGAGTGATCCTCCATAATACCTCTGTTTCAGGAGGAAGAATTAGTGAAATTATACTTGAATGACTCAAAAGTAGACACTGGCACCTGACTTCCATGGCAAGTTCTATCTGGCCACACTGACAGTTTGCCTAATGGTTTATGGGTATATGTCAGAAGAGTAGCATCATTTTTCTTTTCAAGTTAATTTCAGGCAATTTTATGAGGATTGAATTTGACCCATAAACCACTAGATGAATTCCTGGTTCGTAGAGCAAAATCATGTTAATTTCTTGTAAGCTCTATACTTAAAATTTGACGTAAAGTTGCTCAGAGCCCCTCAGGTTACACTAGTCCGTCTGGCTGTTCTTCCGCTGTGGGGAGCAAGTCATTCAAATAGGAACAGAGCAATCCTGAATCTATGCTCTCTCCCACCAAATTAGGGAAATCGGATACTGTGATTAAATTCCCAAAGTAACCAAACAACCCCAGTGTAGAAGAGACATCGTCGGACATAATGAAACAGGCATTTCTCAAATTAAGTTACAGTAGAATACATACTGGAGAACGGGAGAAACTGTTTATTCAGATTTAATCATTTTATATAAAACTACAAACTTTTAGCAGTGCAAATGACCCCAGAAAGAACTTGGCTTTGGTGCACTGAAAATGTTAAGAGTAACTGAACCCCTTCTCTAATGTATCCACACCACAACATATGAAACCAAGCAGGTTGGAGAGGCAGAGTTTTAACTAAAGTGGGGTAGGGTCCCAGGCCTTGATTCTGCTCCTCCTCCCCATCACCATGGCGACTCAAGGCAAACACCATGGGAAAAGCAGTACATCTGGTTCTAGTTTCTTACTTATAAACATGATGAAACATATCACTGAGGCTGCAAAATTCATTCCTGGCAGCCTTCGCCTACAACCTGTATCCTCTGATTCCCAGTCTAACATCAAGTCCTCTACACGCTATGACTATGAGCTTGATTTTATCTGACTGCATCACAAACTCAAGCACACTGGAAGCGGAGGCCATCTTTCTCAGTTTTCATCTTGACAGTAATTTTAATGATGTTTTTTATTGTTCAACAGATACCTCACCTTAATTTATACCTGAAAAAGCCTAATGATATCCTTTCTAAATCTGCTCCCTCTCATTTAAACTTTCTCTTTCATTTAAACTTTCTCCCAGCCTTGCATTTAATTCTGGGGAAATATATTTCTACCTTTGCAAGTGTGCTCAGAATGTTCTAGGCCTTACATAGGTCACTTTGTTCATATCTCGCAACAACTATATAAAGTAGCTTTTAATGAAGATGGAGGTAAATTAAATAACTTGTCCTAAGTCTCACATATCAGGAGATTTAAGCTGGGGTGTCTGGTCAAAAGCCCAAGCTCATTGCATCTACACCACTTTTACAGGATTGTCAAAGTACCACAGGTTCTCCGGAGGACCACCGGAAAAGAGAATTAAGTAGTTCATGGCACTTCCCTTCATATACAGGAGAGAAAAAATCCACCAGGTAAATATCAGTAAAGTGACAGTTCATACAAATTCTGCATTAACATTACGTAAAATAATTTACACACATTACCTCATTGCAGGCATACTTATGGAATGGCGAATGGAGTAGCTTCAGGGCAAAAGCAGATTAAAGGGAAGAAAAGAAAGAGAAGATAGCACAACATAAGCACAGGAGAAACTCCCTCCGCACCGTTCTAAAACAGCAATCTCAGCTCTCTGAAGTGTTTGCTGCCCAACCCACCAAGATGATATTTGTTTTCATCGGGTAGCATGGGCCACAGGCAATTCCAAGGGGACAAGGGAAGAATAGGCGGTCCGTGGTTGCATATTCTTTTACTTCCTGTGGGTGCCCTGTAGGCCAGGAAGTCTGATGTGAATGTCTGGTTCCTTCCAGGTCAACCCAGTAGCCCATGAGCATTCTGTCAAGGGCCTGCTCCTTCTCCACCCGCTTCTCCTGGTCAAGAAGATGGGAAATAGAGCCGAGCCGGTAACAGCTAATTGTTCCATTCCAGTGAAACTCTCCAGAGGAATGTAGGTAGTTAACACAAGGCAGTCCATTTTCCACCCGTTCCAACACCATCCCTGCTTACTCCCCTCCTAAAAAACTAACTGGGAAGGGATCAAACTTATCACCCTTTCCCAACAATATCCACTGAGGCCATTGTATGGGTGGCACTTGACTAGAATGGAAACGAACGGACAAAGAAATTAATTAAAGAATTACTAAAATAAATTCATCTGCATTATCAATCTATTAATCTCCTTAAATAGAAACAGTTTTCTCAGAAAAACAAATTCCAAAAAAAAGCATATGAGATTCCAGCTTAAAAAAAAAAAAAAAGCTTAATTCAGGGCACAGTGCCTTTGTGCTTCTCCAGTAACTTTTTCCCTCTTCAACTTCAGAAGGTACGGAAAGTTGAAGATGAACCATCCTATTAACAACAGTCACAAGATGTTCAGAAAACATGGCAGTCTAGAGAAAGCAATTTTCTGTTTCTGGACCTTACTTTCTCTAAGTTTTATAAAAATACACAACTCTCAATATCCATGTTCCTTTTTTCCTTCTCTCAGAAGGAACTCTGCCAATATAGGGAGAAATGATGCAGAAAAGAGATTCCTAAGAGATTGGGCAGCAAGTGAAGCTGGTGTAAATGATTCAGAAAGGAGATAAATATGTGCTTACATAAATTCAAATGCCTTAGATGCCCCTAACCCCACTCCCAGTCTGTAACTCCCTGGTAAGAACACTCTCCGGAAGAGAGACTTAGTTTTTGGCGGAGGCGCACCCACACAGTGAAGAAAGACAGCTCTGGGGAGGAAGGGGCTGAGGGCCCCCAGGCAGCGCTTACCCGATGGAGTGGGACCTGCAGCCAGGGCAGCATGGAGAGAAGAGCAGGAGCAGCATTAGCACATCACGAGAAAAAGATACACCACACTGACCCTTGTCCCCTCTGCTAAGAGCCCCAAAGCAAACAGTAATTCCTTTCATTACAGTTTTTGAGTCTACTGACTTCTAACTATGATTCTCATGGGAACATAATGATGGTGAAACTCTCTAATGAAATCATGTGCCTCCTCCAAAGATTTCATCTGCACCAGATCACACGCAGTTTGAACAAATCCCTGAGAAGTATCAGGAAGATGCCAATATCATAAAAAGTATCCCATCAGCTTGCATTTCTTCAGAATACTTTCACAAATGTGACTTCAATTTAACTTCACAGGAAACATTTTAATTTGGTAGGGTTTTTTTTTAAAAAAATATGTTTTTACTGATTTTAGAGAGGAAGGGAGAGGGAGCAAGAGATAGGAACATCAATGATGAGAGAGAATCATTGATTGGCTGCCTCCTGCAGGCCCCACTGGGGATCAAGCCACAACCCAGGCTTGTGCCCTGACTGGGAACCTAACCCAAGACCTCCTGGCTCATAGGCTGACACTCAACCACTGAGCCACGCCAGCCGGGCTAATGGATTCTTTCTAATTTCTGCCCTACGGGGCCACCTTGTCACTGAGATGGTCCCTTAGTGAAGATAAAAACTAGCATTTTTCGAGTACAGCATACATGGCAGGTTCTCTTCTGCTGCTTTTAAAATAACTCGATGGTGTTGTTACTCTTACCCCCATTTCATAACTGACACAACCCAGGTACACGGGAGCTAAGTTGCACCTGGCTTCCTCGGAACCTGACCATTTGAAGTTGAATCACCTGGGAGCTTGTTACTAAGCAGATTCCTAGATTCTACCCAAGACTGAGGCACAACTCGGGGAGGTGCAATCTGGAAATATGTATCTTAAACAAGATTCAGAGCTGCTATCAGTCCCCTAAAGATGAAGAAACACCGAGGTCCCAGTGTTCAAGTGAAAGGTTTCAAGTAAGTACGTGGAGAATCAATTTTATAAACATGGCAAAATCTATTTTCTTGGATATAACAGGTAATAGGGTCTTCCCTATTTAAGGAATTATTTAACTAGTTTAGATCAATGTTTTGATACCATTGAAATGATTGCAAGTTTTATTTGTAATAAAATTAAGGTTAATTAAAATACAGAAGATTTACCTGTTAATCACATGCTGTCTCTGAAGAATTTCAATGGTGTTTATTATTAGTACTTAGATTAATGTACATTTCTCACTTAACTCCAGCCTCATGAATACCAAGTTATTAAGATGGGGCATTAATATTGGGCACAATCTAGCAATATCTGAAGTAAAAAAATAACTTAATCACAAAGATATAAATATTTCCCTCTAGGTATCAAAGTTGCAGGATAATAAAAAATTAATAGTTTAAGAATCCAGTGAAATAATTCACACAGATCTTTTTAAAAGAAGAAATTTAAATGTACTTTTAAAGTTTTTAAAGAATGAATTTGATTTCTAGAGAAAAAGGAAATTGGTTTATAAATTTAAAAAAATCACATAAGCATATCAGCTAAATTCCAAATAAACTATGATAGGTATTTAAACAAGCAAAAAAAGCATGAGAGAACAATTCTATATAACTCCTTAGCACATAATATAAAAAACAATGCTCAATACTGCAATGTTTTTCTGGTGACTATAGTGAAGACATTTGGTTCTCAGTTCAAAATTTTAATGCTCACCTAATTTTATATAACAGTGAAATACTGAAAAATAACCAAAATGTGCAAGGAAATGCACTGGAAGATAATAAAGTTATTAAAAATGTAATAGACATTCATTGACATGTTCACAATATTGCTAAAGTGAAGAAAGAAAATTACCAGAAATATACACCATATAGTAACCTTTTGGGATAAAATAATACATACGTTATGTATTTAGCATAGAAAAATGGATGTATATAAAACTGTAACTAGAATGGTTTATCAGAGCATATTCCACTGAATACATATTTTATTGGTTAAATTACAATAATGAAAATTCATGTGTGCTGTGTTCTTTTGAAATCCCTTATTACCAGCGATTAAAGACATCCTCTATCTTCTATTTTTACCAGGTTGGGTCCTAGTGGAAAGGGCATCTTTGGGACAGTCCTGCCACTAAACTGACCTCCAGTCAGAATATGTCCTAATATAATAATTTATCTCAGTCACCAATCACTATCTGCCCCATAATATGTTAATCCAATTAAAAAAGACTATATTAGGAAGACTATATTGGCTCCTCCTCTCTCTAGCAGCCAAGGGCTGAGCACATTCCCGGGGTTCTCTCCCACGGTACCTCATGTCTCCGAACTTCTTGCTGATGGCCGTCCCAACATTGCTGAAAGCAGCAGTTGCCTTCTGCCCTGCGTGACTCAGGGTTTCATGTGTCTTCTTGTAGCTGGAAGTAAACAGAACAACAGTTTGTATACCATGATCACCCATAAAACATTCATCGTCCATCTCTCTCCTTAGTGACAGTTTCTAGTCATTGTTTTGAAATGATAGGCTGGCTGCCATTTATCAAAGGGACAGTCAGGCAATTAAATCTGAATTCAGGAAAAAGATCCAGACACAAGTATAGATCTGAATGTGCAGATCTTTAATCGCAAGGAGTGGGACTGTTCCGAGAGCAGAGAGTCATTCTTAAAGAAGTGTATTAACTTTATGAAGAGACACTTGTCAATGGAAGCCCTAGACATCAAAGGTGACACAGAAATTTTAAAATGTACATTTCAAAGAGAATTTTAGGCTTTTACTGTTACTATGGGTGAAATTAACCATAAAAAAGCAAATACATAACTAGTGTTTAACTTACTTTTCTCATACTTCTACTGAGAATAAGAAAGGCACATGAGTTAATATAACACAGTGACTTTTTCAAAAACAGTTTTAGGAATGCAGTACTGTAATGACCTATGTCTGCTCATCGCCTAGGCCCCCTGGTTAGACTGACTCCTTGAGGGCAAGGGAGCCACTCATCTGTGTGTCCCCGGCATCTGGCAGAGGGTGACAGGAGAAACTCAGTGAGCACCAGATGGACGAATGGATGCTCAGAGAGGATGCCTCTTTGTGGCTCTGAACGGGGCGCGATGGCAGGAAGCACGGAGAGGAGGTGGGGGGTCCCAGAGAGAGACGCACAGACTTGAGAGGTGATAAGTGACAGGTAGAACCAGATGAAAAGATTGGCCTGGGGTTTTGAGCACAGTGACAGGAAGAACCGTGCCATATCCACAGTTCTGAGAAATTTCTAACAGTTACTTAATAAGATGGGAAACAAAAGAGACCTAACCTGAGAGAATCAAAAGAAATCAAGAAAAAGTTTTGTACATCACTTCACAACATGCCAAGTCATTATGCCGTACACTTTAAACGTACACAGTGCCGTAGGTCAATTATATCTCACTGAAACTGAGAACAGAACAAGAATGTTTGTATAGATTAAAGAAGAAACCCAAATTCTTATAATGTACGTACCACCTTCTTCCAGTATCTGCTAATCCCAGGTAAGTTTCCCCAAAGTTGCCTGCTGGGTCTAGAGCATTTACATTACCTGGCACCCTGAGAAGACTTTATTTTAAATCAAATCAGGTGTGTGTGAACACCCCTTATCCCTCTATCCACCCCTTCCATCTCCCGCGTCATGTCCTATCATACTTTAAGGAAATGCTTTAAAACGTGCGCCTTGGTCTTCCTCGGGACTGAAATCACTTTATTAATTTGGCATTCTACTACTGTCTTTTTGTTAGCAGCTTGGAATGAGTTTACCATATGTTATTTATTTACACAATGCCTGTTTTTCAGGAAGTGTCAAAATCATATTATCTAGATTATCAAACCAAACAAAATATTCATGTACTAAACAGACATTTCCTAGCAAATATGGAAAGACCAAGGAAAGTAAGGGTCAAAGAAGAACCTGGTGAGTAGGAGGGAATTTGTGTGTCTGGCGAGAGCTGTGTGAGGATAATGGGAACTTTTTGTTGATTTCTTTTGATTCCCTCCGGTTAGGTCTCTTTTGTTTTCACTTTAGTCAATAACTGTTAGGAATTTCTCAGAACTATGGATATAGCGCTGTTCTTCCTGTCACAGTGCTCAAAACCCCATGCCAAACTTACTTATTTAAGATTCAGTATCTCCTCCAGTGACCTCCCCACAGCTAGATCCCAAGCCACACACATCCCCTGTGCCTCCCTGAAGCCTAAAGACAACATAGAAGAGCAGCAGAGATCATTTTTAAAAAAAGGAGGGGGGGATATTTTGTGTCTGCTCTTAGATTCTCTCAAACCAGGACACGTAAAAAACTATGACACAAACAGCAACAATAAAACCGGGATACAGGGGATCTCTTGACCTGCTATTGTATGGTTATCTTTCTAGAAAGGAGCTAATTTCAGTCTGCTGTGTAATTATTCCTACTCATCCAGTTCTGTTCCAATTTGAATCCTACCACAGACTAAAATATGCCAAGATCTTTCATTACCATCCCACAGATTTTCTTTTCATTATAAATCAAACTAAATAGGTCATGATTGCCTAATCAGTATGCAAAGTATTGCCTCTGGTAGTCACCAGCGATTCTCTGACAGCTAACATTCCTTTTAGTGCTTTAAAATCTAATTCTACCCAACTAACCCCCATCCCAGTTCCCTCACATCAAAATGTTCATTGTATGAGCTATAGAGCTTGTCCTGGAATGGGTATCATGGACACTAACAACAGGGATTTAATTAATGAATGGAGAAAATCAATTTTGCTATCTGCCCCCTCCCCCACCCTAACATGTGAGTAAGACTTTTTCCCTTCCCTCAGCAGCCAAGAAAAAATGGTGGGAGGAAGATGCTTTCCCAAAATTATGTCGTTGACAGGCTTCCCTCTTAAGAGAGAGATTGATTCTTTCCTACAAAGCTAAGTTCACATCATCCCTAAAGGTTAGTGAGTCCACACTCATCTGTGTCTATGAAATGATCTTTGAGGCAATCTCCTCTAGTCCTATAGCTTTCAAGACATCAAAAGGCAGACGACTCCCGAATGTCCTGGACTTTTCCCCACTTTGTGCTCTTGGTCTATAAACTCGTTTGTCTACTGAGCATTTCAGACTTGATATGGCCAAAACGATTCTTGGGTCTCTCCACAAAATCTGTCTCAGTCTTTTCTAGATCAGTGCATATGCCTACAAAGTGTCAGACACCGTCCTACATCCTACACAGATATTATCTCACTGAATCCTCACTTCCTATGAAACAGGTACTAATATGACTTCAATCTGCAGATGCAGGAAGGTCTAGATTTCAACACAACCCGCTGGAGTCCATAGCTCATGGCTTAGCCACAATGCCCATTGCAGTAAACAGTACCCATACTCACCCAGGAGTCCAAATCCAAGACCAAAGAGTTACATTGGATCCTTCTATTCTCCTCATCCCCTGCCTCCCAACCACTAGGAAATTCCATTGGCCTGACCTCCAAGTCCTGTCCGCTGCCTGTCCACAACTCTCCCTCACCACCACCCCCACCTGGACTATGGCAACAGTGTCATAAAGGACTTTCCGGTTTCCACACCTGCCTCCCACAATCTATATCACACAAAACAACTGCAGTGATCCTTCTGAAAGATGAATCAGAACAGGTCACTTCCTGCTTCAAACTCTGCAACAGGATCCTGAGCCCTGGGAAGAAAATCCCCACAGTTCCTCAGGAAACAGAGGCTCTGGCCCCCTCTCCTCTCACTACACTCCAGACACAGCACTTGCTTTGGGCTCCTGCAACCTAGAAAGCTAGTTCTGGCCTCGGGGTCTTCTCAGAAGCCTTTGCCTTTGCGTGGAAGCTCTTCTTCAGATCATCATAAGATCTTCCTCCTCATTCAGGTCTCAGCTCAAAGCAGCTTCCAGGACAGGATTTCCCTGACAGGGAGCCCGTCCCAGCAGCTTCTCCCCGGTCCCCATCTCCTCCTGTAGAGCATCACCCTATGCCATTTAGCACTTCCTGATATTTCCTCATATGTTCATTTTATTACTTGTTCTTGCTCTTTTGCCTTTTGACATACAAAGAGAGTAGGAACTCTGTCCACCTTTGAAGCCTGTACCCCGTGGGCTTAGATTAGCCTCTGGGTGATAATGCCTCAGAGTAGACAACAAACTGTCATGACCCCTTTAATGGCTTTCTATTGCCTGTGGATAAAGAATAACTCTATTTCCCATCCGGGGTTGCTCAGTGGTTGAGCGTCGACCTATGAACCAGGAGGTCATGGTTCGATTCCCGGTCAGGGCACATGGCTGGGTTTTGGGCTCCATCCCAGTAGGGGGCGTGTAGGAGGCAGCCAATTAATGATTCTCATCATTGATGTTTCTATCTCTATCTTCCTCTTCCTTCCTCTCTGAAATCAATAAAAATATATTATTTTTTGTTAAAAAAATAACTCTGTTAACAGATGCCACAGGCCACTTCTACCTGCCATCTCCACAGCAGTGAGAAACTGGAGCCTCCTCTCCTGGGGGCCTTCACCAGGGAGCCTCCCCCAGGAGGCCCCTCCTGCCCCTGTGGCTGGAGAAGTCCTTCTGCGGAAACACCTCTTCCTCGGGAACGCTTCTCTGGGCCCAGCCAGGTTCATTCTGCTTCCCAACCCGACAGCACCAGTATTTCACACTTATCCTTTAACTGGTGATTTGTAACTACTTATAATATAAATTTAAAAAAACTAAATTCTGTTTTCCTGACTAGCCTATACACTCTATACCCAGAGAATAAATTTATTCTATTTATTCAACAAAAACGTGATACTAAGTAGGATGCCTGACTATAAAACCAATGTGTTCTTCGAACATGGGGAAAATACAAACTACATACTCTCCCCTGTGTGAAAAGGCTAAAAGCCTTCCTGGAACTTGCCTGCTCCATCCCATGTCCCAGCAGGAGTATGAGTCTCTCCTCTCACTGCCCCACCTCCCACTCTGCCCCTATCACACCTGGAGCAAACTTGGGGCACCCTCTGCCCATCTTCCTGCTCCCCCCCACCTCACTTTAGCAACAAAGGGCCTGGCTTATCCCTGCAGTGCGGTTAGAAAGGCCAAGCACAACATCTAGCCTGCTTCTTACACCCAGAAGGGAGATCAGGTCAGTGTGGCATGAAGCCTCCAGACCTGGGTTAAATACAGAGGTGACCAGACCCTAGGATTGGAGATCGTTCCACCTCACACTATCAAGGCCATTAATGAGTCTAGGCCACCAAGGTGCAAAGACATAGGCCAAACTGCTGACACATGGGCTCATTAATTTAGTGCCTAAAATCCAGCTACGCTTTTCAGGAGATTGTTCACATGGTGTTGTGTTATGTATTTGAAATGTATAAACATTGATGTGAGGTGTCTTATCTTCTATAATTGTCGTCAGGTTGGGGAAGGCTGGTTAGCCTCTGCAGATAAACAGCTGGGCTCCCTGACTCCATCCTGCCCTACTGTGTGCCCTGACCCTGTTTGGAGAGCCCTTGGGGTACACAAGCACAGAAGCCTATGGGGTCGCTAGGCTGATATAGGGGGGGGGAGAGTGGGTCTTCTTTCACCTGGAAACTAAAGGAAACACAGCGGGTAAACCGCAGATTCTTTTAACCCAACTCCTCCAACAAAGGGCACCGTCATACAGGAACAAAAGGTCTTAGACCTTAGCTTTCAGGAGTCAGCAGGCAAAGATGGCCCCCAACGAAACTGAAATAATGGCCATCCATCCCAGGTACCTCTTCCTACTACCAGCCTCTGCATGTCCCTTTACAATTTTATGAGAACAAATAAAAAATACATATTCAACAAATGCTTAAAAATCCTATATAAGAAAAGTGTAATATGCAAATTGACCCTAATGGCAGAACGCCCAATCGCTTAATGCGCACTGACCACTAGGATGCAGATGCTCAACACAGAAGCTGCCCCCTGGTGGTCAGTTCGCTTCCTAAGGGGGAATGCTGCTCAGCCAGAAGACGGCTCATGGCTGGCCAGCACAGCAGCGGTGGCAGGAGCCTCTCCCGCCTCCACGGCAGCACTAAGGATGTCCGACTGCCGGCTTAGGCCTGATCCCCCAGGGAGTGGGCCTAAGCCGGCAGGTGGACATCCCCTAAGGGGTCCTGGACTATGAGAGGGCGCAGACCGGGCTGAGGGACCCCCCTCCCAAGTCATTCTAGTACATCGGTTCTCAGCCTGTGGGTCGGACCCCTTTGGGGGTCAAATGACCCTTTCACAAGGGTTGCCTAAGACCATCGGAAAACACATATTGAATATATAATTACATATTGTTTTTGTGACTAATCACTATGCTTTAATTATGTTCAATTTGTAACAATGAAAATAAATCCTGCATATCAGATATTTACATTACGATTCATAACAGGAGCAAAATTACAGTTATGAAGTAGCAACAAAAATAATTTTATGGTTGGGGATCACCACAACATGAGGAACTGTATTAAAGGGTCGCAGCATTAGGAAGATTGAGAACCACTGCTCTAGTATATAATAAAAAGAAACAAAAGCCATGTCATATTATGGAATACTGAGCACTGGGCCCCTAGTATATAATAAAAAGAAACATTTTTTAAAAATATGCAATACCGTAAAGGGATCTGAGTAAAAATACAATTTTAATGAACAAAATTTAATTTCATAAAGCTACTTTATGGAGCATCCTCCACACGCAACGTTTTAAAAATTATTGTTGAGGTTTTTCCCCTACTTTTAGGGAAAATATTCTTTTTCTAGCCACAGTACCAAGTCAGCCTTGTAGAAAAACATAGAAAAGTGGCAAGTTGGCAGACTAAGTAATTGGTTAGTATTCCATGAATGTACTTACGCAGTGGTGGTCTGCATGTCATGCCAGCTTTTGCTGAAGTTCTGTTTTAATTCATTCATCAGGTTCATGCCGAGTTTTTGCTTTATCTCAACCAGATGCCTTTCTTTCGCTGATAATACTTGTCGTAATGTTGTAATTTCGTCTTCCAGCTACAAGGAGGAGGGAAGCAGTGGGGAAAGATGTCAGACCAAGCTGAAACGTACACCTGCCCCAGGTGTGTGTGCGTGTGCGTGTGCGTGCGTGTGTGTGTGTGTGTGTGTGTGTGTGTGTTTTCTACCTTTGGATTCAAACTGTGATGTTAGCTCTTCCTGGGCCTCGAGGCTGCTAGCCTTCAGACTGGAGGCACACCCTGTTCCCCTAGGTCTCCAGCTTGCTGACTATAGATCTTGGGACCTGTTGGCATCCACAGTCACATCAGCTAATTCCCTATAATAAATCTCTTTCCGTATATAGAAACACTCCAGAGAAACAAAACCAAATATATGTATATATATATATATATACATATATTTGGTTTTGTTTCTCTGGAGAACCCTGACTAATACAGAAGAATGTTGCAGTAATACATTATTGGTTATGAACACTTTAGTTGGTCACTAGCTTAGTCCAGAAAGAATAAAGGTTTGGGAGGAAGGAACTGAGTCTGTACGTCTAAGAGACAGGAGCCTGAGAGCACTGTGTGTTCTTCCTGGGGGACCACACACCCAAGGAAGGGGGGAAACCAAGAGAGGATGACGGGAGCCTGAAAATAGGTTCTGCCTGCTGGATAATGCTGTCTGGTAACTTTTCTAGTCCTATGAATACCCATTTTTCTTGAGTCATTTTATCGAGGGGACATTGGCAGTTTCTAATTGTGATATAACACAAATTTCTAGCACCAATGCCATCATTTCATCCTTTTCAAAAGCCACGTCGCATTATGGAATACTGAGCATAAAATGCAACTTAGTGAAATGAAAGTGGGAGTGGATGTTCGTAGCACAGAAATAGTGAGCAAGTTTAGTTAAAAAGGGAGACAGAGGGAAAGAAACACCAAATAGATGTGCAGAGACCTCGGAGATGTCAGGAGCAACTGGTAATAAGATGAATGAGATCAAATCTCCGACACAAAATATTTTAATATATTGATAAGCTTATTAAAATGCATAATCTACTGCCGGTATTTACAAATATAAATATTCACTGGAGCTATAAAATAAAGTTAAAAGCCTTACTGCATACCTGCTACACACAAAGCACACACCAGGTCAGAGGTGATACTGGCCTCACACTAAGAAGCTTTTATTTATTTATTTTTAGATTCTTTTTTTCCTTTTTATTGAATTTATTGGAGTGACACTGGTTAACAGAATTATCCAGAATTCAGGTACACAATTCCACAACACACCTGTATACTGTATTGTGGGTTCACCACCCCAAGTCAAGTCTCCATCCATCACCATCTATTCCCCTATACCAGCCGTGGGCAAACTACGGCCCGCGGGCCGGATCCGGCCCGTTTGAAATGAATAAAACTAAAAAAAAAGAGACCATACCCTTTTATATAATGATGTTTACTTTGAATTTATATTAGTTCACACAAACACTCCATGCTTTTGTTCCGGCCCTCCGGTCCAGTTTAAGAACCCATTGTGGCCCTCGAGTCAAAAAGTTTGCCCACCCCTGCCCTATACCCTCCTCCACCTCCTCCCACTGAAGGAACTTTGAGATCACATGGCTACAGTCATAAAATAAAGGCCAAACTGTGTTAACAACAGATTCCTCTTTTAGAATGCAGACTTGATCTAAGATGTAGCCTTTGGGCAATACTGGCTTATTTTACGTCTCCCAGCACAAGGGCACGTCTTCCTAGTGCCAGCACTTGGTGAGCACACAACAATTAGGCAGGATGCAATACCCCCTCATCTCTGAGAAACGCAGAAATAAGAGAGAGAAGCGCGGAGGCTAATGCATTCTGGGGGATGAAAACATGCAAGCTGGTAACTTGAACACAGTGACGGGAGTCTGGTGTTATTTTCAGAATTCAGGCTCAGAAAGTGTTCGGAGTGAGATGCACTGGAAGCTCATTAATGTGGCCGAATGAAACAGGGATTTCTGAAAACACCGCAGGTTATTTATGTTCATGGGGTCTCCATTTAGAACCCAGGCTTTTCTTGATTATAAAAGTAACACATACTCAGCGTTGAACATTTAGAAAATGTAGAATGTGCAAAAAACGCATTGATAGAATCCCAGAACCCAGAAAAATCAAGTGATTTTCTAAAAGCTGGTCTATCACAGAGGTTGCATCTGCACTTAAGCCTGGACTGTTATATGAAGGAGTTACATTTTAGCATAGAATCAGTTAACTTACACTGGCCCACAGAACATAAACTTTGGACACCACCACTGACATGAACAGGTCGTGCACAGAATTCCAGGCCGTAAGGAAACGCGGAGCTGCTGCACGCTCGGCGAAGGCTGACTTTGGTCCGCGCTCCGGAATGTGTGGCCGGGTTGAAGTCAACCGAGTGGTTCTGGATCAGTGGCCACAGACAAACGCAGCCAAAGATGCAGGCTCTGTGCTTATAAAAATAACGTCTGCTGTGCCAGAGGAGTAAGCTGATTTTATGAAGTTATTTTAGGGTGTGTCTTGGGAAAGCACCTGAAAAATCTTCAATATGATTATGAACTGTCACGAACACACAGTCTCAGGACCTCAGAGCTTGAGGAGTCTGCAGTGGACCAAGGGGGCCGAGGGTACGGTGGAGCTCGGAGCTCTGTCCCCAGCCTGCAGAAGAGGCCAGAGCCAGGGGTGAAAGCCTTGCTTCTGATAAACCAGGAGCTTCCTGCCCTCAGAGCCAGGGATTCAGAATGGAGAGGCGATGCTGGCTTCACCCCCCTCGCCCTGCTGCTTATTGTACTCAGGAAGCCCCGTGTCCAGCTCTTTCCTTCTCTAATGTAACCAACCGCTCCTTAGCCAAGTGTTCAAGGGTTAGTAGGTGCTGCAAACAAAACACTTGAACAGAGGGTTGCATTCACAATGAGCCAGGCATCCTCCTCGCCTCTAAGTCCAAATGCCCCAACAACTACCTGAGATCTAATGAAGCCTGCATCCAGCACAGCTTTCCTCTCTATCCCCAGAGCTTTATTCTTCTGCAAAAGAGCACAACTCAATAAATCCAGTTGCTCTACGACTAACTTTTTTGTGACAAAACTAAATTATTTCAAAGTGTTTGTTGAGCTACACTGTTGACCTAAAACAAGAACTGCTCTTCAAAAGCAGCTTGTACTTGCAGGGTCTTGAAGGAATTCCAGCAGGTTTGTAAGTGGTTTATCATCCCCATGGTATTGTGATACTAAAAGAGTAGGAGCTGCTAATTATCATTGTTGCTTAAGCAGCATAGCCATTCAATTTTGTGCTGTCAGCAACAAATAATGGACAATTAGCATTACAAAATCCCCCCCAAAATAAATCATCTTGCAATACATCATTTATCAAATTTTACTGAATGTAATATAACAATTGTAATATGGGACTTATATAAAAGTAATAGTAACTCTCAAGATCCAGAGATAGACATTGGAATAATAAGATTCCTAAACATACCTGAACTAATTCTGCCTTTAACTCTTCTCTCTCCTCGTCGGAGAGCATGCTAGAGAAGTCAGCACTGGCTACTGCGTCTTCATCTCTTCCTCGCAGGGGTTCAGTCTCCAACAGACCTTTAGGCAAGATTGATAGAACATAACGCAATGTTTAAAATGAATGGACAAATAAGACAAAACAAAAACAGATTCATAGCAACAGAGACCAAAAAGATGGTTGTCAGAGGGAAGGGGAGGGGAGTTGGTGAAAAAGGTGAAGGAAAATACAGTAAATAAAATTGTGATAAGTTTGCTGATGTGATCACATGGATGAAACCTGGGAACAAGATTCTGAGTGAAAAAAAAACAAGTTGCAGAAGCACACAGAGTACGGCTCCACTTATATGAAGTTGCAAAACTAAATAAAGTATTGCAAAACTAAATAAAGTATTTAAGGATAGATTTATGAAGGAAAGCAAGGCAATGATAAAGCATTCAGGACCATGGTTTGCTCTGAGGCAGTCGGGGCAGAGAGGGGGATGAAGAGGATGGGAGTGTGGGAACCTATAGGACATCTCTGTGGTGTTAATGGTAGTGGTCCATTTCTGGGACACCGTGCATAAGTATTTTCTGTACTTTACAATGTATTTTGTAAATATTTTTTGTATACTTAGTATTATTATTCAATAAAACAATTAAAATATATATAGTTTGTTGAAAGTCAAAAGAAAAAGGTAAATAATTATCCTACAAAATCATAATCATTCTAGTTAAAGAGTAAAAATATGGCCCAATTTGCAAAATTCTTCTGAAGCTGGCCTCACCCTCTCTCTCTTTTTTTAAATGACTACACTTATATTTATTTATTTATTTATTTATTTATTTATCCTCACCTAAGTATATTGTTCCATTGATATTTTAGACAGAATGGAAAGGAGGGGGAGAGACAGAGAGAGAAAAACATCTATGCGAGAGAGATACTTTGATTGGTTGCCTCTCACAGGAGCCCCCACCATGGCCAGGGGATCCAGTCTGCAACCAGGGTAAGTGCCCTTGACTGGAATTGAACCTGGGACCCTTCAGTCCTCAGGCTGGTGCTCTATCCACTGAGCTAAACCGGCTAGGACTGGCTTCACTTTTAAGTCCACTGTACCCACATCTTTTTGTCTGAATCAATGGTGCATCATCAGCACTTTGTATTACTGCTGATACCCTAACACACATCAGTGAACATGGCATCTTGCTGACCCAAGTTCATCAGATCCTCGTCCCCTCTATGTACTCCAGAGGCCAGTTTCACTGCTCAGTAATGTTCTTTTTCATGAGGAATACCTGTTTATTGTAGAAGACAGGAAAATAAAATTATCCGTTTCTAATTAAAATCACTATTATTCACACCACTCCAAAATAAGTATCCTTTTGGTCCATCCTTGCTGACATTTCTTCTGTGCACACATGCATATTTTCTTATGTATTTTATATGCATTTACTAGTACTGTTGTGAACTTGATTTATTTGTTCATTGGATAGGATATCATGAAAATCCTTTATGTTTAAAACCATGTATCAACATGCGTACATTCTCGTGTGTGAATGATAATTTATCCTGTTTATTGGGAAGCCGCAGGGAACGTCTCCTAGCCAAGTCATAAGGCAAATCCTTGATGATTTCGTATACATGGTATTACTGAGTCAAAGGGCACGGGACGGACCTTTTGAAACCCACTGCATTCATTCCCCAAAGAGGCTGTGCCAGTTTCATGTATACATCAGCAACCTACGAGAATATCTCTAGATTCTGTACAAAAATGTAAATAAGTCATTTAAAGGGGAAACACATGGTCATTTATTTCTGTGAGTAAATATTTGTTTACATGTGGCCAATGTATTTTTAAAATATATTTTTATTGATTTCAGAGAGGAAGGGAGAGGGAGAGAGAGTTAGAAACATCAATGATGAGAGAGAATCATTGATTGGCCAAGGCCTTCTGCATGCTCCTTACTGGGGATCGAGCCCACAACCCAGGCATGTGCCCTTGACCGAAATCAAACCTGGGACCCTTCAGTCTGCAGGCCCATGATCTATCCACTAAGCCAAACCAGCTAGGGTGCCCAATGCATTTTTAGACCGTTTTCTAGGATAAATGTCTAAATCAAGAATCAGCAGCAATTCCAAGCACAGGTTTAAGAGCTGGGTCTGGAAGGTAAGCTACCACCCTGCACCTGGGGCTAGGAAGCAGTATGTAGGACATTCTGGTCTTCTCCCCGACTCAGCCTGGCCCTGGGACTCAGGGATATTGCTCAAATTTAGCTGGAACACAAATCCTCAAAGTTTCCTTCTCTTGACAGTGTGAGAGGGCATGTGTCAGGAAAGGGAATAGACAATAGTTCCAGGTAGTTAGACTTTTCAAGACATCAAACATTTTTAGTATCTTCCTATATTCTAGGAAGAAAATTCAAAATCCAACTGAATTGATAATACAGGAATTGGGAAAGTTCTAGTGAATTTAGGGAAGGGTAGACCCCCACACGCAGCAGGAAGCGTCTACTTTCCAGGGGGGAGATCCATAAACTTTATAGTGAGGCATTCTGCACCAGCCTTCAGCTCTGATGTGTCCTATGTCCCACTCCTCAAAGACATCATGAATCTTTCAAAGTCTCACTCCCAGAAACCAGCCATTCAGGAAATCTGCCTGGAGGCTAGGTAGCTAGTTACTTCACCTCAAATTAGATCAATTACCATCTTCATTCTCATCTTTGAAATTGAATGACAGTTCCCCGTCTTCTTTTTCGACTTCTGTATCTATTTCCCTGCTACAGCCTCTTCCAGTGGGTATTCTCTGAGTGACACAGTTCAGCACTGGGGGCCACGTGCATATAAACAGAATGAAATCAAGACCTGCTTTTCACCAGAATATGCTCTGCTCAGTGGGCTAGTGAAGCAGCGATCAAATCATGAGGTCAAAGGGTAAATCCAGAATCAAAGAGGAGTTGGTTAAAAAAGTGATTAACCAATAAAACTAAATCAGAAGCAGAAAGAAAGAAAAAGCAAATGATGAGATACCAAGTGGTAGACGATAATGTGAGGGCAGTAAAATGCATATAAATTAACCTAGTTCCTATGAAAGTAGATATTAGAAGGGATTAAAAACATATTTTTAATAAAAAATAATAGGGAAAACTTCAGAAAGCACAGTTTTTAGCAGGTACAGTACATAATGAGGCAACTTCATGAATCTGATTTTCTCTTCCGAACGCCCTCTTCTATAGCTCAGCTCTGGTCAAGTTCAAGAGCCCCGCCCTCTCCTCCAGCCCAAGATGGTTTTGGCTTCCTGCTGCCATGGTTCTGAGGAGCTTCACCATCCCCTCTTGGTTTCCCGTAACTCTTCCCATCTTCTAATAGTCCCTTCATTAAGCTCTCTTGAATCAGGCACCCCCTGAGAATGCCATCCATCTGTTTCTCTCCTGGGCCCTGACTGGTACAGAAAGGCTGCCCCAATTTCCTTTTTGAGCTCTAGAAAAAAAATATCGTTCAGGCCAGCCCACACCAACCTGGAGCACAGCCAGTGCCTGCAAACCAGACAGGGGCTGGGTGGTTGCCAAAATCGGTCTGTGGTGTTTACTTCCCCAACTGACACTTCTCAGTCAGTTAACCATACACGGGCTCCAGAACTCCCCACAGTACTTAGGGAGAATCCTGCTACCTTGGCAAGAGGTTGGTGCCCCCACAGCAGACGCTCGGGTTACGGGCCCTGGCGAGGTGGAGAAAATCTCCCACCAACGAGAGCCAAGCGAGGCTGAATCAGCTGGGAAGGGCTACTGGGCCCAAACTCAGCAGAGAAAGACAAGATCAAGAGGCAGATCTGCAGAAGTGTCAGCATCAGAAGTTATCAGGCCCCAGCTGCTGGAAGAGCAACGAGAACACGAGGCACCACATGGGCCCTTCCTGCTTCCATGTACCTGACACCACCTCAGCCAGGGCAAGGGAAAGGGCGCTGACACAGAAGAAA